GACGGGTTGTCACTTGAGTTCCCAAGAGGCGGGGACATGCCATGGATTAGTTAGGGTTCTGTCCAGAAGAATGTTTGACCACATCTCTGGGCATCGTAGCCCAGCTAAGGTGACAGACAAAGGTAGCCATCACACCATGTCACACAGGGCAACAGAGGACAGCGCCAGGGTCAGTTGGGAGGCTGCGGGAGTGTGAAGAATATATAGGCAAGAGCCTTTGTTGTGTTTCTGAGACATGGAATAATATGGCAGGGTAAGCAGGCTTAGGGTTGGGTAGTATGAATAATTTTGGCAGTTTCCAGGGTCTAAGGGCTGTCCTGAGTTGTCTGGTACCTGATCCCAGGGTGATTAGGATTTGGGAATATTGGTCTGGAGTTCAAGAGCCAGATAGTAGTTTTCCTGGAACAATTCAAATTAATGCTCATTTTTTCTAGCAGGTGTCCTAGTTTGGATTATAAATTCTATGGTGCCCTAGCCAATTTGGCTCAGTGGCTAGAACCTCGGCCTGTGGACTGAAGGGTCCCGGGTTCGATTCCAGTCAAGGGTTCATCCCCTGCTTGAGCCCTGTTTAGGGTGCGTGCAGGAAGCAACCAATCGATGTGTTTCTCTCACATCAATATTTCTCTCTGTCTTTCCTTCTCTCTTCCATTCTCTCTAAAAACCAATGCAAAAATATCCTTGGGTGAGGATTAAAAAATAAAATAAAATCGATAAAAATATATTTAAAAAATAAATAAATACATTTTATGGTCACCCTACTAACTAGAAGTTTATTGCAGTGGTCCAGGTAAGATTTTAGGATGTCCAGAGTTCATCAGGGCGTGGCTAAGTGGCTGGAAAGGAATTGCTGCCCAACACTATCAACAAGTACAGGCTCTTGGACATCTGTAGAAATCTCTTATATCCACCACACACAGGCCTGGGCTGAGATACAGGAGACCCCAGTGGGGATTTGTTTTATCAATTGAATGCTAAATATTACAAATACGTAACGGCTAACTCCTTAACCATTCAAGGGTCTTGCTGTTGGTCAGCACAGATTGTTATTGCCTGAGATATAAGAAAAGAAATGAGAAGGAAAGTCATAAGCAACTGAAGAAGAAGTCAGAAAGATAACCCTTAGTTGTTCAGGGCCATGGGGCCTAGCTGCTCTTCTTAACATGGAGCTGAATTTTTATGGATATTTTTTGTTGTTGTTAATCCTCACCTGATGATATATTTTTTTCCCAATGGATTTTTAAAGAGAGTGGAAGGGAAGGGGAGAGAAATACAGAGAGAAACGCCGATGTGAAAGAGACATATGGATTGGTTGCCTCTCAATGAGCCCTGACTAGGGCTGGGGATTGAGCCTGCAACTGAGGTATGTGCCCTTGACCGAAATCAAATCTGCTACCCTTCAGTCCAAAGGCCAACACTCTAACCACTGAGCAAAATTAGCCAGGGATGGAGGGTTTTGACTCCTGCTTGAGGATAGCAGAGAGGGCCATGAAAGCTTGTCAAAATTTCATCAGTTTGCAGTCATTCTAACCTTGGAAGACAGTAAGTATAGAGGCAAATTAGTCAACTGGAAGAAACAATTGTTTCCTAGTACACGTACTTAATCATGAGCTGTTATTTGGGCCTTTCATTAGAACCCAGAAAGGTTATTTGGTAACAATAATTGGGGAATATTTTTTAAAGGAATCAAGCAACTAGACCCAGGGAAAAAGAAGATGTTGCTATCAGGAATACATTTTAGCAGAGGGAAGAATATGAATAAGAATAAATGAAAAGGGTGAAGAGCTGTTATGTTGTTTTATTTTTTTTTAATATATTTTATTGATTTTTTACAGAGAGGAAGGGAGAGGGATAGAGAGCTAGAAACATCGATGAGAGAGAAAGATCGATCAGCTGCCTCCTGCACACCCCCTACTGGGGATGTACCCGCAACCAAGGTACATGCCCTTGACCGAAATCGAACCCGGGACCCTTCAGTCCGCAGGCCGATGCTCTATCTACTGAGCCAAACCGGTTAGGGCTATGTTGTTTTATTTTAAATGTTCTTCCTTCTAGTTCTCATTTCGTATACAGGAGGCAGGCTTTGCTTCAGTCCACTCCCACTATTACTTGTATTTATACAGTGCTCATCTACCAGAGGCTCACAGGGCAGCCTTGAATCCATGTCGCTCTAGAAAGTATTGCTTAACAAAAGGGGGATGCTCTTATTTCATCCATCATATCATGAAATGTTCCAGTGGGAGCCTGGAGCTGGATTTGCCTTAGGCTGATGGTTTTGCGTTGGGCTGCACACATGCATGTCACAGCTCCACACACCCAGGCAAGAGAACACGTGGCATCATTTTGCAACGAGGAGCCAGCCCTGCCATCATCCCTTTGCTTTTGACTGTGACTCAGGGAGGTGTTTTGAATTACCTTCATGGCTCTTGATGTTCCTGAAATATTTCTGTTGGGGAGTTCTGTGTGTCCACAGGCAAGACAAGTTGCTTAAATTTTAAACCTCACAGCCCCTCTCTATACTGTTCACACTATTATTTATAGAATTTCATTTGTCAGATTTACTTCCTCTGGTTTTTGCTTCAGAGAAATAGAATTGAAGTAGAAAAGTCCTCTGAGGTAGAAGGGGATGGGTTTGAAGATGGAAATATTTTAGTAGTTACTTCAGAAATTTTTATTGCAGCTTTGTTATTCTTTTTAAAAATGCATGCCTCCAAGGCATCCGTAATTCAATGAAATCAAACTCAAATAATTGCCTTGGATTCACTAAAAGTTGGTGTCTTCACATTTTTCATTAAGCTAAGAATTGATTTTTAGAAAAATGAAGTAGGTTAAAAGTAATGTTTGGCTTCGGTGTGATGCTAGAAGCCAAAATATTCTTACTAGGACGGTTCTCAACCTGTGGGTCACGACCACTTTGGCGGTCAAGACCCTTTCACAGGGGTTGCCTAAGACCATCCTGCATATCAGATATTTACATTACTATTCCTAACAGTAGCAACATTACAGTTATGAAGTAGCAACGAAAATAATTTTATGGTTGAGTCACAACATGAGAAACTGTATTTAAAGGGCCATAAGGTTGAGAACCACTGTAACTAGGTCCTTTTAAAGTCTTTCAGTGAGCCATTCCAATTTCTCTGCCTCCTGCTCTTCCTTTTTCTAGTGTCTTTCTTCATCTTCCTCTTGCAGATTAGGCAAGCACTATGCTCATTCACTATTGTGACAAATACTTTAGAATATAGAGAGAAGTTAAGGAATAGGACATTTCTTTTAACCTCTGGCATTTAAATTTGTTTATCTTATAAATTACTAGAGGCCCAGTGCACAAAAATTTGTGCACTCAGGTGGAGGGAGTTCCTCAGCCCAGCCTGTGCCCTCTCACAGTTTGGGACCCCTCAGGGGTGACCACTTGCTGGCTTAGGGCTGCTCCCCAGGGGATTGGGCCTAAGATGGCAATCAGACATCCCTCTGGCAGCCCGGCAGCCCTCGGGGGATGTCCACTTGCCAGCAGG